GTAATCCAAATTCGACCAAATATGATTGGATCTCAGATCATCCTGATCCGATCCATTTACACCCCTAGGGCCATGGCCCAAAAAAGTACAGGCATAATGTAGTTAACAACCACGGGGTAGCTTTGGCTCGGATTGGCCCCAAATCCAACAGAACCCGCCTCGTTGCAAAGCGCTTTTGATGGGTTCAAATCTAGAAAAGGCACAAATTTATTGGAAACAAAAGAAAACAGTGAGAATTAATGAACCTTTAATCTCAAAGAAGCAATTAATACACATTCAACACGGATCAGTTATCAGAAGCACGCCTTGGAAACACAGGCAACGGCATAGAGAGCTAAGTCAATTCCAAAACGTCAGCATCTTCGTCCATGTAAACTGGACCCCCTCCACTGTCAGTACCAACGCATGGGGGGCACGGCTATATCATCCATGTGGAACCACCCCTTGCTCAGCTGCACCCAATTATTATATGCTGTCTAACTCCGTTCTCTCTCCGTCTCAATCAATCTGGTCACCCCCAGTGCTCCATCGGTTTCCATTGCTGCCTTGCCCTAGGGAGTTTTGTTGAACCGTTTCACTTACACATCAAAAAAGTATCGACCACTAATTTGATCAGGAAGAAAGAAAGAAAGAATTCCAATTGCTGGGTTGGCCTTCGAACTTATTCATTAATTAGCTAGCTACATTTTCCCCACGTTGGAGAGTTACAGCCAGCCGGAAGTGTGCAATGATAGCTCATGTCTCTAGAAAAGAAACTTGGTCTTCACACCTCTGGCATAAAGGATGTTGAAATGAACAAGTAGTGAGAAGAGTGAAATGGAAGTAGTAAGGGGTAGATAAACCATTGATCATTGATTGCTCCACCAACCACCATCAATCACTCTATATACATTAGGGGTAAAAACATTCCTTGCGTAAATTCTGAAGTGGTAGGAAGTGTTCTTCTTGGATTATTAGGATTTGATAGATTCGGCGGGGAGTCTATGTCAAAGAGCTAAAATCGTCGGTCCTCAAACGATCCCACTTTTGCTGCTTACGCTATGTTAAGAGAGAGAGAGAGGGAGGGGTTAAAGTATGGTTTTCAAAGTCGGACCGGAATGGATGGTTACCCTAGAACCGTTATTTCTTTTAAAATCGTTGATTTTGTCAGCAAACTGCTGACCAAGGTGATCGAACCGTTTAACGGTTTGTAGTCAGATTTTATTTTATTTTTTTATTAAAACTGACCATCCAAACAATCGGACCATTTGACCCGGAAGCCAGACCCCTGACCAGTTCGTTGTCAGAATCGGTTTTAAAAACCTTGAGTTAAAATAAGCACTTTTGTATTTGAAAAATAAGCCCAAGTGATTATTCAGAGTATAAATACTCATCTTAAAATTTCAAATTTTGTGCTTATTTTTAAGTGTTTATTGTCTTTATAGCCCATTTTAGCCTATCAATGTTATTTTAAAAATACTTATAGCATATCAAAACACTCCCTTAATTTTGATGAATACCTCTGATTTGTCATCTTTTGTATGATACTGCTTGATTGGCTGTAAGCTTTTTTCGGTATCATATCCCAAATTCAATAAACACTTATTTTTTAAATAAGTATACCCAAACTTGGCCTAAAATGGCATTAGCTCACCGCCCTACTTAGTGAGGCCTTATCGGTGGAACCTACAATAGTCTCATGAGTTCAATGATGCGGCCCGCCACATGATGAATGTCACGGCCGACCACAGCCTCTGACGTGGACGATACGTCGGCATCAGTAGCCGACCGGCGACCGCTCCTCGGCCTGGCCAGGTTTCCCAATTGACTTCATATAAATTGGGTCCTTGTTTCCACTAAATTACTTCCACGCCCCTTCCATTCCATGGCGAAAGATGGAGGAATCAGTTTCAGCCATGGTGCCTTGAGCTGGACGCCTGCACAGTGGAGTGGATACAGGAACCGCATGTCGTCATTGCTCATGAACACGTGTGGTATATGATGAATGTATGATGGTGGCTTGGTTGGAACCCACCATTTCGGGTTGCAGTTCAATCCATGATTGTAGTTTACATAGGTATCACATTGTGGGCCACGGCCCACTTCCTTATGAATCTTGACCATTCAATCATTGGGTCACCCCTTACGATTGATATAATGATCTCAACGGTTAAACCTGTGGGACCCTTATAAGTCATTATAACCATTAACGTCTAACATTTGATGTTTTTTTTTTTCTTCTTGATCTGACAGACTTGGGAGCTCATTACATTTTTGTTAATTGTATCTTCCATGTAAAGTAAATTACATTTTTGATAGAGGGAGCTATGAAAAGGAGGAGAAAAGGTTAACAATTTTAGAAAAGAAAAGAGCATGTGGAATTTGAGAAAGGGTGGAATTCTTTTCAAAGATTTTCTTTCATTGTTTTATCATTATTTGTAATTTAGGGGTGTCAACTGGACTGGATTTGGTCCAATCCGATCAATGAATGTGAGTCCGTTACAAATGGACCAGGTCCAATTTAATCCAATGGATAATTTAGACCATTTTGGAGTGGTCTAATTCAATGTTTCGATCATTCAAATTGTTCAAATTCATTTTAATTTAGATTAGTTTGAACTCAAACCCAGTCTATTGACACCTATACTCTTATCTTATATCAATGGACTATATATTGGTTTAATCCAAACAAATCCAATATAAATTTGTTATGAATGAATCAGATCCAATTCAATCTGATAAATATTTTGGATTGGATTGGTTCCACTATATCTTTTTGGTTCGTCCAATTCATCCAAATTGATTTTGGACCAGATGGGTCCAGTTCAAAACCGGTCCATTGACACCCTTAATTTATATGTTGAATTGCAAATGGTTGGGATTTTATGTCCCGTTCATTTGCCAGTATTTCTCTATTCGAATTCGACCCAATGAATTTGTAGTCCCAATGGTCTGCTTCACATATCTTTCCAATTCACCTGTTAGGAAATGTTATATATATATATATATATTGTAATAAAATTTGACATACTCAATTCACATATCTTTGTTTGTGTATCTCTCATAGGGTCATACCCAATAAGTTGAGGTTAGAGTAGTAAAAAGTTTTATTGACTGCAATTTTCATTATTATATCTAATATAATTAATAATTAAAATATCGATATAATGTTATATCAGCGTGCCCAGATATATATGCATGGATATATCAATGCAAAGCCTTTTATAACATTTAAACTTTTTAGAGTGTGGGCTCCAACCCTCTAATGATTATAAAATAAAAATAAAAAATAAAAAATGTTTAAAAAGTAAGAATATTAATGTTATCAACACATAATAATACTCAATTTTAAATATCAAGTGTATCAATATTTTAATCTTAACCACTTTATTTAAATCGTTTAAAATTTTATCATAATGAACATGTTATTATAAATAGAAACATTGCAAAAATTAAATAATCACCACCAATCAAACAAAAAAAAATAAGGCCTTGTTTGATTCATGGAAATAGGGATATGGAATCAGAATTAGAATGAATTATTGGATTCTAACTGTTTGTTTAGGGGAAATCGGAATCCTATTTCCATTCCTGATGGAATGACATTCCCTAAATCCTCTGCTTTTCTCACTCATTATATCATACGAAAGACAGGCTAAGGTGGAGCCCTTGATGATGAAGTGGGGACCAACTTTGTTTGTCATTGTGTAACAGTGAATGGTGGCTAGCTAGGCCATGATAGATAGGATATTTTACTCCTTTGTCTTCAAGTTTTCTATAATGCCGTATTTCCTTTGTTTATCTTCTAAGTAAAGTACTATTCTCCTCCTCGTACCACCAACCTACACGTGGCGCTCTCTCGGCAAATCCTTCGCTTCATTTATACCATACCTTTCCCTGAAAAATACATTTCTGAAATCATCTGGTTCTGGGCCCCCACAACATAGATGAGAGGCCCAGAGTTTCCAACCTTTTCTCTGTAATGTATACGGTTTACATGAGGTCGTCTGGGGTTGGCCCAAGAAAGACCTTCAGGTCAATTAGTTCATACGTTTCCGTCAATTTGTTCTACTGTCGAGGAATTTTTGGTAAATTCAACCACAACAAGCCGCAACATCGTAGCCGGACCACCAGCCATGTGATCACCCCGGACTATGATAAAAGCGGGGGACTCGGGCGGTCGCCTGATGAGTGATGACATAAAAAGTGTCAAAATCTGACGGGGGTGTCTGCCAACGTGGCAGATAAAGAGAGGAGTCTTTTGTATTACATTTTGCCAAAATTCGATTGGTCGGACCATTCAGATAACTAACTAGTTCCATTTCACTTGTGAATTATTTCTTTTTCACCGTCGATTTGATCAGTGACCCGCTGACCCAAATAACAGTTTTTGACGGACTGCTCATTCAGATCCGATGGTTGAACCGCTGATTCATAAACCGGTGGCCAAATGAGATCGGTTTTTAAAAACATTGATTTGACCATTATAAAATGAAATGGAGGGGACTATTATAGTTCATATAATGAGAAGGGAGGAGGCATCAGACTTCAGACGTGATCATAATTGAACTGACCTTTCTATGATGATTTAGGCTCCGGTGCATGCACGCACATCGGTTAGGTGATCGTGACCGTCAAACTCAGCAATAAACACGGATTTGATACAATTATGTTTTGATAGAACTCATAAAGGGGAGTCAAAACTCGGATGATTACCTAATCTTAGCCGTTGTCTGGGATAATCTCCCAAACGGGGCCAAGATCTGCATTGCGGTCTGTGTGCATGAGATAAGATTGATAATGCAATAATGTTTCCCATATGCTTAGGGGCTTAATTGTTAATTCAAACTTTGGCTTGGGAAGACGAGAAATTGAAGAGAGAGAGGCTAAAGGGTGACGTCACTCGGTGGGACAATCCTTCCTTCCATCAACCCACGCGCAATCGAGCGGTCCTCACCTTCTTTTTAAACTCTTTCCACCCTTCTCTCTAACGGAATTTCTCGTTTCTCTCACCCTTTTGTTTCTCTTTGTCGTACATTTTTTCCTCTGCTTCTTCTTCTTTTTCTTGTATTTCTTCTGCAACTTTATTATTTCCTCTGCAACAGATAGATAGACCAATTAGGCAACGGTATCTCTCACGAACTCTCACACTCAGGTAAGCTTTTTCGTTCAGCAATTTTGAACGGCACATGCAGCATAATCTATGAAATATAGGCCATTCTTTTCATTTCTTCATAACGATGATTTCAGTCTGGTTTTCGTTGATCTCCTCCCATTGATAGGTCAAGTTATCACTTGTTCTGATTTCGAAAATTCTGCTCGGGGTTTATCTTTTATTTCTTTATTCTTTTTCCTTTTACGTTCTCTAATTATCTCATATGCTTCTCTTTCTCTACTCTTAAAATCACAGATTTCAGTAGTTCACCTCCTCCCGTCTCTCTCTTCAAACACACACACACATAAAATATTGTTTGGTTTTTCTTTTGATACTAGAAATGGCTACATATAGACAAACTAATCTTTTTTCATCAAAACACTAAGAACTTGTTTCTCCAAGTTAACAATATGAACTTATAATTTCGCCATGGTCATCAGTTCCCAAAATTTTCAATTTGAATGGATGACCTTTTGGAAGTTCAGTTCCTAAGAAATAGCTTTCAATGGATGATCCATCGTCTGTGTGTGTGTGTGTTTGAGCTTTGAAACATAGATTCAAGTAATCTGTACTCAATTTAGAGAATATTTAATGATTAAAGTAACAGGTAATACGAAGGACTTCTGCAAAAATTTCTTTCACTTAGGTCAGCATTTCTAAGGTCAATGAGAGTAAGACGTCAGATGTGCCATGGAAATTCTAGACAAACAGACAAGAGGGTCAGAGTCCCACTGCATTAAGAGACATCGGACCGTGCAGGGAACCCTTCACCCCGGTTTGCTCTTTCTCTCTTCTTTTATCCCTCCTCCGGCAGGCTCCATCCAAAGAAAAATGGTTTCTTTCTTTTTGCCTCCTCGCCCTTTTCTCCTCTTGAACCAACGCGTGCTGAATCTTGCTAACGTCACCCACTTTGTTCATGTCTACTCGGCTTTCTGGTTTCTCCACTTTTTGAGTACTCTTACCTCTTTGTTTCTCCTCAGTCCTCATCTCAACTCTTTCTGCCATTAAGCTCTGAACCCAAGAAAATTTTATTGATAAGTTCCTGCATTAAAGTAAACATTTTGAAGTGTGGGATTTACAGTTTGTTTCTCAATTTTAAATATCTGTTGTGTCTTTTGATTTTCTTCTTTTTCTTCATTTCCATCTCGCTTCTTTTCTTTTTCTTTCTTTCTGAAATCTAAGTTGGGTTATTGATACTTTGATGGTACTAACTTGGAGCTGAATGGGTGCAACAGGAAATATATCATTACTGATCTCAATTATACAATGTACTTCAATACCAAAAGAAGTATATAATAATGTACTTAATATAGTATAATTCTTCTGTAAAACACACTTTTTTATCCTCAGCAAAAGCTAACAAAAGAATTTGAAAACTTTTAATTTGAGAGTGTACTCTGTATAAAAAATTTACTGAACCAAACCCAGTTCCGATGAATCATTTCCACCATTCACCTTGACTAGACAACATCATTAGCAAGGACCTCTGATTGTCTGTTTCTTCGGACCTGCACCACAGAGCCTGAGCTCTCCAACTTCCTCTTGGATTTTAACAAACCAAAGACTCATGATTCGGTTTTCCTTTCTTTTTTCTTCCATTCTGCTTTTATAACTTGTAATCATTATGAGAAAAAGAAAGAGTTTTTGTTTATAACACGCGTCTATTTCCTTTCGGAGATAAATAGTGACTGTCGGTCTTCACCAAGTGAGTTGATAGGTTATCTATCTTTCACAAGACATATATGTCGTCCTCTGATTTGAAGGGTTCATCTTCATTCTTCACATTAAAGTTTCTTTTCCTTTTTCCTTTTTTCTCTTCGGTCTTTTCTTTCTGGTTTTGGGTTTTCTCTCCGCTTTGACTTTGTTATTATTTAAAGATAATGGAGTAAAGAGTGGTTCCTGGTGGTAATGAATTTGATGCAGTGGTGTCGGTAGTAATGACGATGGAGTCGACGGAGTCGTGCGTTCCACCAGGTTTCAGGTTCCATCCAACGGATGAGGAGCTGGTCGGGTATTATCTGAAGAAGAAGGTTGCCTCGCAGAAGATCGATCTCGATGTCATCAGAGACATCGATCTTTATAGAATCGAACCATGGGACCTGCAAGGTAGGTCATCTGGAACACACAGAAACGTTCCTTTTTCTTTTCCTGTCATTAGGGTTTCCATCGTCGTAGAGGCTAGTACAGGGTGACGTGGAAACCCTAATGACAAAAGAACTTGCACCGCCATCAGGATCTAATGGACGATCTGGGAGCTATCAAAGTACGCCCAGATAGAAATCCCATGGCTCCATTCAACCGATCTAGCGCATCTTAGAAGTATGTATCAAGAGTTGAAATATAAAGCGTGCAGTATGGTTATGGAATCTCACCATCATGAGATCGACAACCACTGCACAGAACCCATTTGATCCATTTAGGAGTTGGATCAGTCCTAGATGATTTCTTAGCTTCGAGGAGTAAAAATCCTGATATATGAGCACCGCACACTGATCGTTGAGGATGCTCTTCACTGAATTACCGAAGGAAGATAATAATTGATTATATAATAGGATGTATTTTCTCCTAATTATTGATTTACAGTGTGTAATTAATAATGGCAGAGAGGTGCCGGATCGGTTATGAGGAGCAGAACGAGTGGTATTTTTTCAGCCACAAGGATAAAAAGTACCCAACTGGGACCAGGACGAACAGGGCCACCATGGCCGGTTTCTGGAAGGCCACCGGTAGAGACAAGGCGGTGTACGACAAGGTGCGGCTCATCGGCATGAGGAAAACACTCGTCTTCTACAAGGGTAGGGCACCCAACGGACAGAAAACTGACTGGATCATGCACGAGTACAGGCTCGAGTCCGATGAGAATGGACCTCCGAAGGCAAGCAACCACGTCCATATCCTTGAAGCTTGACAGAAAAGCCTAACACATTTCTTAATATTAGCATCTCTCTTTCTCTCTCTCACCGTCTCTAGAGATAGGAGGTTGGCAACTTCTGAAACTCTCCGGCCCCAAGCTTTCCGATGGGAAAGCACCGACTGGCTTGATTTTAGTTATTAATCAAGTTATAGAAGAAGAGTGAGTGAATCACTTTCTCTGATTCTGGGTTTGAGAACATTTGACTTTTACATCGTAGTCAAAAGTATCTTTCTCAAATTACAACCTCCACACATGATTTTTCCAACTCTTTTGTTGGTAAATGGTAATAGTTTTTCCTTATTTCAGTCTGTCCGGAGTAAACAATTGCTGCATTTACTTTTTTCTTTTATCAAACAGAAGGAAATTGAAACGAGAAAAAAATAAAACTTGAAATACTCCTCTCCCGTTCCCTTGAAGATTTTATAAGCTTCTGAAGCATATTCATAATAAAATTTAAAATTAGAAAAGAAAGAAGAAGAAGAAGTGGTCATCCTTTTTATTGACAAATTCTGCTGAAGCTTTTGCAGGAGGAAGGATGGGTCGTTTGCCGAGCATTCAAGAAACGAACGAGTCAAACGAGAAGCAACGAAGGATGGGAGTCGGGTTACCTCTATGATGAAACGAGTGGCGTCAGCTCCATTGTCGATCCAATTGATTACATCCCAAGGCCGCAGCATCGAAACTTTGTATGTAAGCAGGAGATCGACGCCGATAATCTAAATCTTTTGCACTCCGATACTTTTGTACAGCTTCCTCAGCTAGAGAGCCCATCTCTACCTTTAATAAAGAGGCCAAGCTTAACATCCATGGTGTTAACGGTGAGCAATGAAGATGAAGAGCCAATGAGAAGGTGTAAAAACACAGAGAAAGTAACTGATTGGAGGGCCCTTGACAAGTTCGTTGCTTCTCAATTGAGTCAAGGAGAGAGATATGATGGTGAAGGCATCTCAAACTTTGGAGTTCATCACAGTTCCGATATGGCATTGCTTTTATTGCAGAGCAATAGGGAAGAAGGGAACAAGTTTAATGGGTTCTTCGGCTCGAGCTCAGACTGTGACATTGGCATTTGCGTATTTGATAAATGAATGGAGAAGAAATTAAAAGAGCAGAGAGCATTAAGTGGAGAGGTGTCATTACTTGTTTTAATTTTTGTGTTTTAGGGTTGGTGGAACTTGGAGGCTTACGTATTCTGTAAGGATATGGCTATGGATGTGTGAAAAAAAAGGGAAAAGAAAGAACCTCTCTCTCTCTCTCTCTCTCTTAATATGGCTTTTTTCCTTTTAGAGCATGAACTCTTGGACCTCTGTGTTGTTGGGTCGATATGTATATACAGTATGGTTGCAGTGATACAGTTAATTCCACACATCATTAGGCTATAGCCAATCTTCTATGTTAAGGAAGGCGAAAGGCCTATTCAGGATGTCAGTTATTTGCTTCACTTGAAAGGCGAGGAAATTACTCACCAAAATACTTAAAAAAAAAAAAAGTCAAAAGTAGCTGAGGAAAATTGTTGGCACCGGAGGTTTAGGAGTACGAAGCTGATTTTTTTTTTCGAGAAGTTCACAATTGATCATAACTCATTGAACAACTTGTCCGTCCTCTGCAAGAGTAGAGAGGACAGAATCAGCAATTAGCGCACCAGAGAGCACTCGGGAGTAATCAGTACGTAACAAGATGGAGAGGTGGTGGGTAGTCAAAAAAATAATAATAAAAACAAAAAACACAAAAGTGAAAAAAGAGGGGAATGCTATGGTCATGTTCATAAATGACTAATGAAACAATTCGTGCAAAGCTTTAAAGCTTTAAAATAGACAAAGGGAATAAATAAGTTGACTCCTAGTTTGACAGAAAACATGGATCTTGAGAGAGTATGATAAACGATGAGAAATCATGTAGCCAACCATAAATAGTTGACACTAAGACTGAGATAAGGTAGGATTATCAAAACTTAAGGTCTGTGTTTGGAAACGATTCAAATAAATGTGAATACAAATATGTAGAGTATTAAACGATTTATATAAATTTACCTTTTTATCAAACAGACTTTTAGTAGTAATGGATGCAAACATGAATTTCAATAAAGAATATGTTTTTTTTTTTTATTAAAAGTCGACTTAAATGCAAATTTACTTCTATTTTATTGATGTACTTTTATATCTTATTATCAATGTAAATATGCATTGGTCTATCATTTTTCGATGCATAAACGTAATGTTGCCAAACACATGCAAAAGTGAACCAGAGTGCAAATTTACCCTGAACCAAGATTTACACTCCATTTGCATTGTTTACAAACGCAGCCTAGGTTGTATTTGTTTGCGGTGTAAACCTCATCAATGTAAAACTTTATCGATGGAGTTTCACATCTAACTGTAATCACCTTGGTAAGGCGGAGGTTGGTCAATCCCCAAAGGCCTGGAGATGGCAGTGGAAAAGAGAGAGGACGTGGGGAAGAGAGAAGAAGAGAAGAGAGAAGGGAGAATCGCTTGTGAGAAACCCTAGGTCAGGATTATGGTTGTGTTGTCTCCTGGAAAAGAATTGCCCTCTCCCTTTTATAGAGAGGAAATTAAGGAAGAAGTTACTGTTATGAAAGGGAATCTTTTCTATTAGAAAATGAGATGTTTCCTTTGGTTTAACTATTAATGGATCATTATTAGAGAACATTATCCCTTCTGGATTCTCTCTGTATGTGACACTATTATACTGACGTGGCGTGGGTGACATTATCGTTTGGCGGGCATACTTTTATTGAACTCACATGCAAAATTAAAAGATGCACATGTAACCGGCATTTACTCCCGATCTACCGTGATTCCGTGGTTCTATAATGGTGTCGAGTTCATCGCAGTTGTACACGTGTTTGGGTTCATCGAAAATCCAAACGTGTTCGAGATTCATCGCAAACCCGCACATGTCCAGAGTTCGTCCCCGCGTGTGCCCTACCTTTATCGCAGACTCATGCTAGTCGAATTTCATCATAACTTGTCCTGAGTATGAGTTCATCGCACTCACAAATCTACGATGAACTTATCGCAAACGTGCAATGGTTATGGATTCATCACAGGTGTTCATGTAGTGTTGGTTTAACACCCTCAATATTTTGATGGTCTTAATGACCACTATGTACTTACACTAACTATTTGAATTATTTTGAACCGTTGAAAAACATAAACGTAAAAAATATGATTATCGATTTTATTGATGTAGTCTTTATATTGACAATTAATCTAAAGGTTTATGATGTAAACTTCATCTCCATCCAAACACCAACAAAATCAATCAACAATAACATTTTACACTATATCCATACACCGACAAATGCAAACTAATAGGTCATCCATTCTATAGTCATTGTGTGCCTTTTTGGATACCCAAGACTGCAATTTTATTATTCCCTATTGGATTTTAATCTCATGAGAGATTAAATCCAATGGGTTTGATTGATCAATTACATGAGAAATTGCACCTGTACACTTGATTGAAAAAATAAGTTTTTCTCTCACAAAACCCAGTTTTGAACTTCTCCCACATTGGAAAATTATAAGCTTTGTTTTCAGTATTTCAATAAGAGCTGATTTACACTCCATAGAATTAGTAGAGGAGAGTATGGGGATTCGATACCGCGCAACGCGCGCACACGTGTAAGCGCGTGTGTGCGGCGCAATGAGGCACTTTAGAGGCGCACTTTGCGCGCACTCACGTGGCTCGCGATGGGCGGTTTTGGTTTTGGTGCGTTGATGACCGTTGATCACCGTTGATGAGATCAACGTTCACAATTCGATCAGGTGTGATCAAGAGGCACAATTCAAAGTTAACCGTCACCAACTGTTAACTACTTTTTAAACAGTCACAATGTTTAAAATTGTGACTGTTCAAAGTGCCTTCTCTAAACCAGCACCTACCTTTTCTTCATATCTCTTCACAAATTATTTAAGGAGCATGAATCAGACTCCAAAACACACAATTTCGAAATTCACTCTCTCTCTCTCTCTCAGTCTAGTCTGCTACAGTCTCACAGAAGGTTTCTTTGGAGACTCTTCAACTTTGTTGGTTGCAGATTCTCGCCCAAGGCTCTGTTGTATCCTAGGAACGATTTTTCCTGTAACCCAACAGCAAACTCAGTAAAATTGAGTGGGGGCAACTAACGTTCTAAAGATAGTGTCTTCAGACGCGCCTCAGAGCTTCTCCTCCAAAGTTACAGTGACCCCATCTTCTCCAACACTTTTATAACGTTATTCTGCAATGGAGGCGGAAGCAAGCATGACTTCGATCAAGATGATGAACCAAGATCTTGTTCGACAGACCAGTTCGATGGAGCAAATTTCAACCGATGGCATGACAAGATGATCTTCTTTCTGACCACATTGAAGCTATACTATCTGTTGGACCCGAATATGCAATCACTTCCTGAACCCACTGACAGAGACTCAGAGAAACTAAAGAAGGAAAGAGCAAAACGAGAAGATGACTCACTTCTGTGCCAAGGACACATACTGAATGTTTTATCAGACCGGCTCTACAACTTCTACAAGGAACTTACATCTCCAAAAGAAATCTGGAATGCCCTAGAATTCAAATACAATGTGCAAAAATCAGGTACGAATAAGTATCTTATTGCAGAATACTTTGACTTCACCATGAACGACCATAAACCCATACTGGAACAAGTTCATGAACTACAGGTGATAGTCAACAAAATTCGATCCCTTAACATCATCCTTCCTGAATCTTTCCAAATGGGAGCAATCATTGTCAAACTTCCACCCTCTTGGAAGGATTACATGAAGAAGATTCTGCACAAGGCTGAAAAACTTACCTTGGAGCAAATTCAGCAACACCCTCGTATTGAAGAAGAGTCTCGAATTAGAGACAGTAGGGATAAGACCCTGACTGATATGCTGAACTCTAAGGTCAATTTTGTGGAAAACGGATCAAAGAAGACTAACCCTACATTACAAGTAAAGAAGAAGGATGGGAACTTCAAAAGAGCAACAATAAGAAAGGGTCCTGCTATGTTTGTGGAAAGAAGGGGCATTATGCCCGAGTCTGTCGACATCGGAAAGGCGGAACCAAGTCTGCAAACATGGTAGAAGACAATCTCGTGGCCATGATTACTGAAGTCAACATGGCAGAATTGTCTTCTGGATGGTGGTTTGATTCAGGCGCCACAGTCCATGTTTGCAAGGACAAGTCCTTGTTCAAAACATATGAAGAAGTGACTGATGGCCAGGAGGTACAGATGGGGAACCAAACATGTGCCAAAGTTGCTGGAAGAGGCAGCGTAGAGTTGAACTTCACCTCCAGAAAGACACTGACTCTCCTGAATGTTCTCCATGTTCCTGACAATAGAAAGAACTTGGTCTCAGTAAATCTTGTTTGTACAAGGGGATTCAAAGTTGTCTTTGAATCCGACAAACTAATCATATCCAAAAATGAGATGTTTGTTGGAAAGGGATATGGTTGTAATGGTATGTTCAAATTAAGTATTAATGAAGGAAAAGTTTATGCTTATATTGTTGATTCTTTCTCTTTATGGCATGATAGATTAGCACACTTGAATTTTAAATCCATAAAGAACATGAGMAAACTAKGTATAATTGCTTACAACAATGAATCAACTGAAAAATGTGAAATATGTGTAAAATCTAAAATTGCTAAGAAACATTTCCCTAGTGTTGAAAGAAATTCTCAACTTCTAGAACTAATCCATTCTGACATCTGTGATCTCAATGGTGTATTAATTAGAGGAGGTAAAAGATACTTCATAACATTTACAGATGACTTTTCTATGTACACCTATGTCTACCTTATGAGAACTAAGGATGAAGCCTTTGACATGTTTAAACTATATATGACTGAAGTTGAAAATCAACTAGAAAAGAAAATTAAAATCCTTAGAAGTGATAGGGGTATTGAATACTTTAAAAATGAGTTTAATTCTTTCTGTGAAGAATTTGGAATAATACATCAGTGTTCTGCTCCCTATACCCCTCAACAGAACGGCCTGGCTAAAAGGAAAAATAGAACACTTACAGAAATGATAAACTGCATGTTGTTAAAAGCTAAT